GCAGCCTGAGCATGCTGCTGTTAATTACTGCTTAATTACAGCAGGTCAGGGCGCTGGGGTTGGCTGAGCACCGCTGGGCGAGCTCCTGGTGCCCCCAAAAGCGGGCTCCTGGTGCGGTGAGAGCTGGGGAAGGGCTGCAGCACTGACAAACACCCCGAGTGTGCTGCCCGGATCCGTCCTGGGGCTGCGGGTGCTGCTTCCAGGCTGGGCTGGCCGGGAAACATCAGCCACTGCTGCGTGCAGCGATCGCACAAAGGCCGTTTGTTGAAGAGCCTTGTAAGAGCAGAAACACCAAATTTCTGCAGGTTGGGGCCCTGCTTTTCCGTGCTGACCACGTCCACGCCTGAGCAGATGCGGGGCTCTCTGCCCAGGTCTCCAAGCGCTGCGGTGCCGCCGAGGCAGGGGGTGCAAGGAGCCGTTCCCTGGGGATGGCTTCGTCCTGCGCGTCAGCAGTGATCAGCCCGGGGCTCCGCCGCGCTCAGCGGAGGAGTTTTGACAGCTGGAGGTGAGGGATTAAGCCCTGAGCTGTGACCTGTGGCAGGCTCACGCCTCTCTGTGCCGCGGCACGCACACGCCGAGGGGCATTAATCCGCCTTAGCTGATCCCTGACCCGGTGGCTGCGGGATCAAGCGGCGGCACCGACCCCATCAGCAGCACCCCGGCTCCAGGCGGGATGAACCACGGGCACCGGGCGCCGTGCGCAGCGAGCAGCGTGTGCTGGAGCAGCGTGCACCACGTGCGTCCCCGCCGTGTCCCAGAAATCAGCCTGGCACCCCTGGGACATCGCCGCCGGGGCAGGGTGTGCTCCCCGCACGCTCCGCGCTCTCCGCACGCCGCACATGGCTCAGGCGTGTCGGGAGGCGAGTCAAGACAGGGAGAAGTACCCAGCTCGGGGTTTGCAGAAAGCTTTTTAGCAGCTGTGTGCAAACCAGCTGTTTTATGGCCGGCACAGCGAGCGGAGTCTGGCTTCCTACAGCCTCGTGTTGTGTTCCTACAGCCCTCAAACTCCTCCCGCCGCAGCAGCCGCCCCCGGCGCAGCCGTGCCAGCACCAACCCCGCTCCCCTCCTGCTCCCCAGCTCGGCCGCGGGTGTCCCGATCTCCACGGGTGCCAGCTGCCCAAGTGCCCCTGAGGTTGTTATTAACGCAGCGGGGGTTAATTAGCGCAGAGCCCCCAGTTCCGGGGTTAATTTGGCTGCAGCTCCTGCAAGGATCTGAGTGCTACAGATGGACATAGTCGCTGCCCGCTGCCTGTTGGGCGATGCACCGTGCCGTGCCATCCCGTGCCATGCTGTGCCATCCTGTGCCAAGCCATGCCATGTCGTGCCATGCCATAATGTGCCATGCTGTGCCGTGCCAAGCCGTGCCATGCCATGCCAGCTGTGTGCTGGGGCCAGGCACAGCACTCCCAGGGTGTCAGGAAGCTGCGTGCAGATGGGGTGGGGTGTTTTTTTTTTTTTTTCTCGACAAGGAAAATGTTTTCTTGTTCCCTCTGATGAAGGGCGGGCGAGGCTCTGGATCCGTGCGGCGCGTACAGCAGCTTTTGGATCGGATAAGGTGTCATGCATTTAAGGACTCGCCCGTGCCAAGACTCTCCCCGCGCGCTCCTGCGCTGCGCGGCCGAGCCGCTGTGCGATGCCTTTGGCTTTCGCAGCCCGGCCTGCGGAAATAACGTGCTCGCTCCCCCTTTCAATAGCTCACTTTTCGTTTTTGACTCGTTTTATTATTATTTTTAAAGCATGTGTAGCGCAAACCAAATCACCTACCTCCCGCTGGAGTCGGTCCAGCCCCGTGTTGAGCTTGGAAAACCTCCCTGCTTTATTTTTTATTGTAAATGACCGGAGGATGGAGCGGCTCGATGGGACACGGCGGCGTCCAAGCCCGCGCCGCCTCCAGCCCACCCACGCGCGCCGGCTGCTCTCTCGGTGCTTTCTCTTCGTGCATTTCGCAGCGGGGTGCCCGTGCCATGCCCCAGGTGCTCCCAGTGCATGGCAGGGGGATGGTGATGGGGACAGGGTGGTGACAAAGCTGCAAGGGGCTCGGGAACTTGGCCGGGGCTGGCATGGCCAGAGGTTTGGACTGGGGACAGCGTTGATGGCGTTTTTACTGCTGGGTTTAAACAAGTTCTCCGCTTTACTGACCTTCAACCGCAGTCACAGATCCCCCGTGGATCACATATATTGACTTAAAAAATAATTAGCGTCGAAGCGAGCGGGTGCTGCGCCCGCCTGCCAGCCCCAGCCTTAACATCGAGAGAGCAGGGGCCGTAAATCAGCTGCGGCCGCGCGAACAAGCCCGGGGCTGTGCGCGCAGGGGAGCGCACGGCTGCAGCTCTCCGCGAGCGGGGCCGTGCCGGGGGCTTGGACACGGGGCCGGGAAATGAAAGCAGAGAAGGTGCCAGGATTGCACCGCCGCTGCCGGATCCGGCCCCCGTGCCGCTCGCCCCTGCCCTCTGCTCGGCCAGCACAAGGCGCAGCCTGTTCGTGGCGCGGCGGGGGCTGCGCTCCCCCAGCCCTGGCGCTGCTGTGAGAACAAGGTGACATTTCTTGTCTCGTTTCTCGTGCTCTAAGTGTGAGATTTTTTTTTTTTTCGATTTTTTTTTTTTCTTTCCCCTCCGGTGCTTTCATTGCGTGCCAGGGGTTTTTAACACGTCTGCTCGCGCGGTGCCAGGGGAGCAGACACTTGCACAGCTAGCGCGGCGGCGGCGCGCTCTGAAGCCGTGCCAGGGGTCTCCGCGCCGGGCCGGCCGCGCACCCGCTGCTCTGGAGCCCACTCCCCGCCGCCAGCCCCTTGGTGGGGGGGGGACAGCACGGCTTGGCTGAGCCCCCTGAACGCACCCCCTTTATAAACTCTCCGGCCCCATCTGCTCCTGCTGGGCTTGTTTTTCCTGGCCGGGGAGGTTGTGCTCCGACTACTGTACGGCGTGGGGACGGGCAGGGGATGGTGGCTGCTGGGCTGTCCCCATCCCGCGGTGCTTGGGGGCAGGAGGGGCTGTGCCATGGACCTGTGGAGCCCCCAGCACATCTCCCCTTCTCCAGGTGGGACAAACAAGCCCCCTGTGCCGTCCCTGCCGGCTGCAGATGGTTTGGTCCCGAACCGCTGGCCCTGTGGGATTTTTGGCCCCCTGGCGAGCCAGCCAGCTCGTGGCGGTGCCTTCAAGGATGGACACATCGCAGGGCTGCTAAGAGTGATTAATTACTTAACGCCGGAGATCTCAGGCATGAAAGAGCCTCTTCTTAGCCATGCTGTGCACACTCGATCCATCAGACCAAACTCCAGACGTTGCCAGTTTATTAAGTCACTGCGCGGGGGCACCGCCTATCGCAGGGACTCCAGCGGCCGGTGCCTGCCTTAAGCCACCTGCGGGGTCCCAGGCTAGGTCTGCGGCCCCACAGCCCCCTCGGGAGGAGAGGTGAAGCCACCTGGCCGGATTAATGGAGAGCATGGGCGAGCTAAACCCCATCTGGAGGTGCTCCATGGCCACTTATCTCGGCCACGGAGCTGGCTGCCTCGATTTAGCACCCGGCGCACAGCGAGACCGCAGCTGGAGCCAAGCTGACTGATTGCCGTGACCACCGTCCCCGTCCCCCTTCTCCCTTTGGCTCCAGGTGCTGCTGATGGTTATGGGGTGTCCCGACACCCGCAGCTCCTCCTGCCCCAACCACCCAGTTGGGGATTGTCCCCGTTGCCACAGCCCCGGTGGCACCTGGCGGCACTTGGGCTGAGCCATGCCGAGGCGCTGCTCAGAGCAACAGGGAGCATCCCGTGAAAGCTCCCGAACCAAGGGGAGGAACAAGCCTGAGCAAAGCTCAAGTGGCAGAAAAGAGAGATAGGAAATGAGGGGAAGGGATGGAGTCAGAGCCAGAGGCACGGGGGTCATTCCAGGTAAGGAAAACAAATAAATAGCTGATTCAGGATTTTGTTCTCCTCTTTTATTTAGCAGAAACCGTATTTTTACAGCTGCAGTCCCTTAAAAACGGGATTTTTTTTTTCCCCCTTAAACAGACCCCTGTAAAATAATGCTTCATAAAAATAAGCGTTCCTCTTCTAAACCCCACAAACAACAAGGCCAACAAGGTGCTCGCTCAGCAGGGTCCTGCTCATGCCCCCAGCCCCGGCAGCACACGAGGCCTCTGCCAACCTGCCAAGCGCTTGCAGCACAGGGAGCAATCCCACGCCAGGGCTCCCTTTACTTAATTTGGTTTAATTAGATTTCAGCTTATTTATTTATTTTTCCCCTCCACACTGCAGCTTTTTTTTTCCCGCTGCTGTTTCAGCAAAAGCGATCCAAGAAATTCCGACCAAATCCCGGCGCGCTGCAGCCCTGTCCCTGCCTCCCCGTCGGGGAGAGGCGAAGGGCTTAATTCTCATTAATTACCACCACGGGTCAATTATTGCGAGGAGGAGGAGAAGAAAAGAATACAACAGCCAAGCTCTTTGGCATCACGTGTTGTTTAAGCTTCTGAAAATAAACGTTCTCCGCAGATCAATCCGTTCGCAGCTCCGCGCATGGGGCTGGCACAGAGCATGCTGCTGGAGGAAAGGTGTATTTACAGAGGGTGTTTATTTTAAATAAACAGGCTCTTAAGGCTGAGGCTGCTGCTCCCAAATGCTGAAGCCCTCCCCGGGGCTTTCCCAGCCAAGGGATGGACCCAGCCTTTGCTCTCCGAGCGAGCTCCTGGTGCTGTGCACAAAGCACCGCAGCCAACCCTGAGCGTGGTGAGGTTTGGGCTCTGATCTTGCAGTTTGGGGCTGCCAGGAGCTGCCTGGGCAGGCAGGGCTGTGCTTATGGCACAGGATCCGCGCATTTATCCTGCATCCCCCAACTGGTGCATGTCAGGAAGGGGAACACTTCCAGGGGCTCAGAGAAAGGGAATTTCGGGTGTCCCTGCTCCCCTAGGACCCTTCCCAGGGCCCTGGGCGCACGCTCCCCGCTGATCCTTGTGGGGTGAGGGGTGGAAATCGGGCTCGGGTCCCTCCCTCACTGCCATTTCGTCCACAGGAGCGGCGCGGGCCAGGATGCTGCCGGACGCCGCGGTGCTGCTGCTGCTGCTGGTGGTGGTCGGCCTTCGCTCGGCGGCTGGAGGAGGAGCGGCGGGCTACGCACAAGTGAAGTACATGCAGCCCATGGTGAAGGGGCCCCTGGGACCCCCCTTTCGGGAAGGCAAAGGGCAGTACCTCGGTAAGGGATGCGCTGGGCACGGGGCTGGGAGGATGGGGGGGATGAGGCTGCTGTAAGACTGGGGCACTGCAGCATCCCGCAGCATCCCACAGCATCCCATAACATCCCACAGCATCCCACAGAATCTCACAGCATCCCACAGCATCCCATAACATCCCGCAGCATCCCACAGCATCCTGCAGCCACCGAGCGCTCCCATCAACCCCAAGCCCCACGGTCAGCCCCCTCCCAGCGGGTGCTGCCCTGCAGATTGCCCTATTTCCCCCCAAAAAATAAATAAGACCAGGGGATGACAGCATGGAGAGGCTGAGCAAAGCCCTTGCTGGGGCTGGGGGGTTTCCCAGTTCTTGCCCTGCTCGCATCCCTTGGGGTGCTCAGTCTGGGTGCTTGTGCACAAAGCAGCCCCACAGCACTTTGCTCTCCTTTTCCTCCTTTTCTGCACATTTTCCAGTGGCTTTGGGGCTCGTGCCCAGGCACGGGAGCCCTGACACTCGCTGCGTCCCTCATTGCTGTTAAACCCAAGTCGTCCCCACAAGGCTTTTTTTTTTTTTTTCCACTCCTCCACCTATTCCGTTTTCCCTGCCTGCATTTTGCACCAGCTGGGAAAGGAAAGAGGGCCAAGACCCAAGCTGGGAGACCCAGCCCAGCACGACGAGGGTGAGAGAGAGTGATTTCCTCCTCCACACGTGTTAAATCAATCCCCACCAGGCAACATGTGCCGCTCGGAGGGGCAGAGGCGCTGAGGTCATTGCTCGGAGCCGCCAGCCCCTCTGCTGCGCTTCCAGCCGAGCTGCAGCCTTTCAGAACCGCCGGCCCCGAGCCGCCCTGCCTGCACGCCCTGCTGGAACATCCTGCCTGCACGCCCTGCTCGCACGCCCTGTCTGCACGCCTTGCCTGCCTGCACGCCCTCCTTGCACACCCTGCCCACCCTGCAGCACCCCAGTGCCCGCCTGGGGTTCCCTTTGTGCCCTGGTGCTGAAGCTCAGAAGGGTCCCCATCAGATCCCCAAAGCTGGGGGTTATTACCTCGTGCTAATTACACACCCCCTCTGTAAAATTAAAGGTGTTGAGTGTGGCTGGGGATCTCCGGCACTTCTTGGCTCCTCTGCCAAGGGAACCCCCAGCACCTCCCCGAGGTGCCCGTGGCTGTTGTCACATCCCAGGCAATATCAGCACATCGAGGAGGGGGCGGATGGGGGGCACCGAGCCCTCTCCTTGGCACCCACACGGTGCTCCCGCTGCTCTCCTGCAGCCAGCAGCAGGGGATGGGCAGCACCATGGGATGGGGCAGGTCCCTAGGGTGCACGGTGGCTCTGCTGCGGGGGGTGCAAGCATCACAGGGACCCCCCCCCAAAGGCTCTCCGAGACCCAGACCCTCCTGGGAGCTGAAGTCTTGGCTCTGGGAGGAGAAACCGGAGAAGTTTTGGCTGCCGGTGGCTGATTTACTGCCGGGCTGAATGGCTTATCAGGAGTTCAGCTCAGCACATATGTCAGAAAACACACAGCAAAACCTGGAGCCGAGGCGCGCTCGGAGCCCCCCCTCCGCTCCCTGCCCCCTTCCCAGCTGTTGTAAAGCTGCTCCCTGAATCCCAGCCAGAGACAAAACCTTCCAGCGCAGCCTCACCAAAGAGCAGCGTTTCAGCTGCTGATGGGCCGGGATTCAAATATCTTCTCCCTGCTGCTTTTCCTTTTTTTTTTTCCTCCTTCTTCCTATGCGTCTGAGCGGCTCGTGCTGCCTCCGAGCCTGCTGGCCATGCCGGAGCAGCGAGCGTTGATGCAGGCTGGGCTGCTGCAGGGCACAGCAGCCTCACGGGGTGAAAAAGGACAGAGAGCACCCGGGGAGCTCCCGCTGAGGCTGGTGGCCCCGCTGTAGGATGGAGGAACGGGACCCTAGTGGCCCATGGGGAAAACCGGGCAGGGGGCCACACGAAGCCAGCCGGGGATGCCGGTGCCTCCCGCATCCCACCCAGCTCCCAGCTCTGCTTAACCTCCCCTTGGCAAAGCAAATCCCTGCTGGCCCCCTGCCCTGCTCGGGGCTCTCAGCTGACTCGCCGCGACGGCGCAGGGCTGTGCCAGGCCCCCGCTGCCCCCCGAGCCACCAGGACCCCTGCGGCCCCCTGCTGCTGCCCCAGGCTGGCCCCAGGGGGGCTGGGACCCCCACCTGGGGGGCTACAGCCAGCCCCAGGGCTGCAGGCACTGCCTGGCCTGCTGGTGCCATCTAGTGAGAAGGACAGGGCTGCTTTCCTTGGGGTGCTGGATTGATTTTTCTGCACCCAAACTGGGCTCCCGGCTGCGCGGAGGCAGCTCTGGATGGCTGGCAGCAGGGCTGGGTGCTCACCCTGTGCCTGGGCTTCATCTCCCCTTCCCAAACATCCCATCTTCCCAAACACATCCCTCCTGCCCAAACACATTGAGCTGAGCTGTTTTAAGGCCACTGGGAAGTCGTAGCCCCATGGACAGCCCCATCCACCCTCCTGCCCCCAGCCCCACAGAGAGCATGAGGCCTCTTTGCCCATCCGTCCCCGCAGAGCAGGGATGCTGACAGCATTTAAGCAGACATTTGCATGGTTGGGTTTATTTTGGTTTGGTTCAGAAGGACGTTCATGGCTCTTCTGTGCATGACGGCTGTCCCAAAGGCCCTGCTCCAGCAGCCCCCAGCTCGCTGCCACATGTGGGCCGTGCTCAGTGAGGCGCCCGGGGCTCCCCCTGCAAGGGGCACAGTTTTAAAGGAAAAACATGGTTTTACGAGGGAAATAGGCCTGGGCTGCCAGCAGACAGGCACAGCAGGAGCAGCTGGGGCAACCAGGCCTGCAGCACCTTGGCTCGGGGCACTGGTAGGGTGCTGGGTTCCTCCTCCTGGCGTGCCGAGGGCCCAAAAGGGATGAAGGCAGCACCAGGGGCTGCAGGACCCACTGGGTGATGCCCACACTCCCCAAGAAGCTCCCTAGTGCCAAGGCGAGGGCTCACAGAGGCCGTGCCTGCCCCGTCCCCTCCCCGCTGCCCCAGCTGGCTCTTTGCGTTAGCATTCGGGGCAGCTTTGTTCATGCTTCGAGGGGAACACACAACCCCATGCTGCTGCCGTGAAACGCAGAGCTCGGAGACATGCGTCTGTGGTAAGACATGGTCTTTTGAAATAGGATACCGCCGGGGCTGCAGTGGCCCAGTTTCTCCCTGCTAACGTCCCCGGTTTGGTTTTCCCGTCTGCTTTTTTGGCCGCCTGCAAGTTGGCAGCTCGCGCCTGGCGTGGTTCTTGCGCTGCCTGGTGTGAGTGTGTGCGCACACTTTTCCCTTCCTTCGTGGGCTCAGCTGCGGAGCCTTGTTCTGATTCCATGCAAAATGACCTAGAAAACTAATTCTTTTCAAACCATTGCAAAAAAAGAAAAAAAAAAAAAAAAAAGAAAAAAAAAGGGGGGGGGGAAGTGGAGGAGGAGAAAACACATTGAAATAATTTTCCGGAGAAAAATTTTTCCAGAATTCAAACCCCAGAAATCTGCTTCGGTGCAATGCTTCACGTCTCCCTTCCCTTCTTTCCCACACCGTTTTCTGGGGTGAGGAGCAGGAGGCTCGCAGAAATCCAGTGGCAGTGTCATGACAGACAAGTATTTCCTTAATCCAGGCTGCCAAGTGACCTCTGTTACAGCAGAGGAGGAGTGGGCCAGGCTTTGATATGTAGATAAGCTGTGAAAATGTTTCCATTACCGAAAGAAAAACAAGCAGGCACCAGGCCTGGAGATGGCCAGAGCTAATTGCTGAGCTGGGAAAGGTGAAGCTGCTGCGGGTGCGCTGGGAGCCGTGCCTGCTGCTGCTGCTGTTGTGCTTTACACATGTCCCAAACCTCCCCTAACCTCCTCCTGTTGATTAAAGACACCAAAGGTGGGCAGGTGATGGTGCTCCGGGTGCTTTGGGAGCCCCTCTGCCTCCTCCAGCAGCACCAGGCTGGGGCACGCAGCGACCAGTTCAGCTCTGTTCTTCCTTGGGTTTGGTTAAATTTTGCCCGAGGCGTTGAGGCCCTTTCCTGTGCCCTTCACCTTTCTCACCGTAGCCCCGTTTACAAAGGCTGCCAAGCCTTTCCTTCATTTCGAGCTTCCCAAAAGAGAGCTCATGGCATTTGGTGTTTCTCACCCATTCCCTGCCTCACGTGGGAAGCGACACCCTGCCTGGGCTGGCCTCAAAGCCTGATTTATGCTCACGTCTGCGCTTTTCGCGCTGAGCTGCGGTGGGCATGTAATCTGGCTCGCCTCGGCTTTGTAGTCTCTCAGCCCATTAGTTTCTTTCTTATATCCGTTTGCAAAAGACCTCTATAAATTCTTTAAATGTCAAGTGGTTACGGCCTGTTCCCAGCTGGGCTGACTCACTTGGATGCAACCGAGGTTGCGTTTCCCTCGCAGCTATTGGCTTTTCCTCCCTCCTCAGCGCTTTTTTCTTTGTAAGTTTTTCTCTACCTCGCTGGACACGGGAGCTGAGCCAGAGAACGCCGCTGGCATGTCTTAACGGCTACACGAATCGCCTCCCTGGGCTCTCGAGTACACGCAAAAGGTTTCTTTTTAATCCCAAAGGAGACAATCAAGCATAGGTCTCCGGGGCCCTGGCCTCACGGGATGGGGTAGAGGGATTATCTCCAGTCCTGGCATCCTCCGTTGCCAGCTGAGCCCAGGCAGCAGCGGCCGAGTCCCACGCTGCTTTCGAGGCTGCTGGGAAGTGAGGCAGCGGGAGGTTTGAATCCAGCTCCTAAAAAAAAACCCCACAGCAGGTCATCACAAAACAGCGCTGCCAGAGCCGACAGTAATTGCCGGTCTTGTTGACACCCTCTGCGGAGGGACAGATGGAGCAAGGCTTCAATTAGTGCCTTGGGCTCTGGCCAAGGTCTGGCCTCAAGTCTGCTGATGTGGTGGCCCAGGAAGCCACCGTGACCACGTTTAAATAAAACCATTTCTGGAGGAGGGCAGGCTTGCAACGACCTGGTTGAGGGGGAGGCTCCTGCTCGGTGCAGCCATGCGCTCACTGCAAAATAAATGTTAGCTGCTGACCTGCTGAGGTTTTTTTCCAGCCCCAGCACTGACAGTGGCTGCCTTTGGCACCGCACGCTGCTTGGGGGGGGGGGTGTCACTGCAAAATGAAGGTGCTGCTGGCTGCAGGCACCTGAACCCCATGGCTTCACGTGTCCTCAGCCCACCGCTGCCCCCAGTAAAGCTCTGCGGTCTCCTCTCTCCACAGACATGCCGCCGCTGCTGCCGATGGACCTCAAAGGGGAGCCAGGACCTCCAGGGAAGCCCGGACCCCGCGGCCCCCCCGGCCCCCCTGGCTACCCAGGAAAGCCAGGCACGGGGAAGCCGGGCATGCATGGCCAGCCCGGACCTGCTGGGCCCCCCGGCTTCTCAGGCATTGGGAAACCTGGCATCCCAGGACTGCCTGGAAAGGCGGGGATGAAGGGGATGCCTGGAGCCAAGGGTGAACCCGGCATACGAGGAGAGCAAGGACCCAGAGGACTGCCCGGCCCCCCAGGGCTACCGGGGCCAGCCGGCATCTCAGTCAATGGGAAACCAGGCCCCCAGGGTGGCCCAGGGCTGCCAGGGTTTCGGGGTGAGCCTGGCCCAAAAGGGGAGCCTGGTCCCCGCGGAGAGCGAGGGATGAAGGGTGAAAATGGAGTGGGGAAGCCAGGGCTACCGGGACCACGGGGGAATGGGGGCCCTCCTGGCCCTGCAGGGCCCCCAGGGCCTGTCGGCGTTGGAAAACCCGGCCTCGATGGCCTGCCGGGTGCGCCGGGGGAGAAGGGCGACATGGGGCCCCCAGGTGGGCCGGGGGTCAGCGGGGAGCCCGGCCCCGTGGGGCCGCGGGGGCCTCCTGGCATCGATGGGATCGGCATCCCGGGGGCAGCGGGGGTGCCCGGCATCCAGGGCCCTATGGGACCGAAGGGAGAACCGGGCATCCGCGGCCTCCCCGGTTTGCCAGGCCCAACGGGCTATGGGAAGCCAGGCTTGCCTGGCCTCAAGGGAGATCGTGGCCAGCCTGGGGTGCCAGGAGCCATCGGTGATAAGGGGGAACCCGGTGTCGATGGCGAGCCGGGTGAGCCGGGCCCTGCGGGTGTCATCGGGCCACCAGGGCCACCGGGGTCCATGGGCCTGCCAGGCAAGCACGGGCTGCCTGGCTCCAAGGGCGATGTGGGGCCCAGCGGGCCCCCGGGAATGCCAGGGGATGCGCGGCTGACCAGGGCCCGAATGGCTTCGCAGGGAAGCCGGGAGTGCCGGGAGAAAGGGGTCTGCCCGGCTCACAGGGTCCCCCCTGGCCCAACGGGCCCAAAAGGAGAACCGGGGTTCATCGGTCTCCCAGGGGTGCCGGGATTAACGGGCGGCCCTGGGCCAAAAGGGGACTGGTGGGATCCCTGGGCAGCCGGGGCTGCGGGGCCCCTCCGGCATCCCAGGCTTGCAGGGACCCGCGGGTCCCATGGGGCCCCAAGGGTTGCCAGGGCTCAAAGGGGAGCCTGGGCTCCCTGGGGCTCCTGGCGAGGGGAAAACGGGCGAACCCGGCATGGCCGGCCCCATCGGCCCTCCAGGAATGCCAGGAACGCCAGGGCTGAATGGGCCGCCGGGCCCACCGGGGCCACCTGGGCCGCCGGGAGCACCGGGGGTGTTTGACGAGACCGGCATCGCGGGGCTGCACCTGCCCGACGGAGGCGTGGAGGGCGCCGTGCTGGGGAACGGCAAGCCGGGGAAGCCGCAGTACGGCCGAGGAGAGCTCTCCGCCCGCATCGCGCCCGCCTTCACCGCCATCCTCACCTCTCCCTTCCCGGCGTCCGGCATGCCGGTCAAATTCGACCGGACTTTGTACAACGGGCACAACGGCTACAACCCGGTCACCGGGATATTCACCTGCCCCGTATCCGGCATTTATTACTTTGCCTACCACGTGCATGTCAAAGGGACTAACGTTTGGGTGGCGCTTTATAAGAACAACGTGCCTGCCACCTACACCTACGACGAGTACAAAAAAGGCTACCTGGACCAAGCCTCGGGCAGTGCCGTGCTTGAACTCAAGGAGAACGACCAAGTCTGGGTACAAATGCCCTCGGACCAGGCCAACGGGTTGTACTCCACAGAATACATCCACTCCTCCTTCTCCGGGTTCCTGCTTTGCCCCACATAACGGCTGTAGGGCGTGTTTCCTTTTCACCCACTTTAGCCATAAACTGTCTTTTTTTTTTTTTTTTGATAAAAAAAAAGAATTAAAATTAATACAAAAAAGAAAAATCACTGGGAAGAACGCGCAAGCCGTTGTCGCGGGACCTTGCTTCACGCTGTTTGATCCATGAGTCAAGAGGGTAATCAGAAAGGAGACGACTTTTCTTTCTTTCTTTCTTTTTTTTAGGGGGATAGAGAAGGGAGGGAGGGAGCAACTTCCTCGGTAAAGTGTATTTGGAATAAATTTTACCCTAGTGACTGCACATCAAACACAGGAACTCGCTTGGGATGGCAAGGATCTGGCTGTGCAGAACATCGCTCTGCGGCCCAGGGAGGGGAGTCTGGAAGACCAGACCCCCCTGGCCTGTAATCAAGTGCCCTCGCTTCCTATTCGGAGCACTAGTCAAATAAATACAGCTGTTGTAATGGATGGTGTATTTGCTAGTCAACACAGAGGTCCTAGGCACTTAAGACAAATGCATACAGCACCGGAGATCCTTGATGGATTGAGAAATTTCCTTCCCAACCCATCAAGTGCCCACGTTTCGGGCTCCCTGATGCTTATTTGTTTAGACTGTGCTTTGAGGGGGCCTGTCTTACTCCAGATTCAGTGTGGTTGGATTTATAAACAGAGAAAGTGGAACACTTTGCATAAGCACCTTCTTATAGTAAGTAAATATTATTTTTTAGCCTTCCCCCCCACCCCACCCCCAATCATCTTTAGGAATAAAACCATCCAGGCACTGCTTTTTGGGAGGACGACAGCCAGCCTGGTCCAGAGCCGATCAGGGAAGCTGGGACCCCTGTGATGGACGAACAACGATCCTCCCTCTTGTGTTAATTCATCTCCTGGGCTTGCCCTGTCCCGTACATTTCTTTGCAGTCCAAAGACTTGACCTCACGAGCGTGTCATTCTCTGACGACGCGGGGATGGCACAAAAAGCCTGGCTTACAGTGCTGCTGGCCTGGTGTGACGGAAGGTTTAGTTCTGCTTTCTTCCAAGTGCCTCTTACGGACAACCTGCTTTCACTGCCTCACTACTCCAGGATGTGTAAGCTTTCACATTGGTATTTTCCCCCTTCTCCGGGGACCTTTTTATTAAGAACCAGTGATAACTCTTTAACTTCCCATTCAGTCGTTTTACAACGGTGCTATTACCTACTTAACCATGTTATTTACAAGTCTAGTGCAATATGTGTCTGTAAAAGCGCGCCGTTCCGGGTGCCAATCTATGACAGGTTAAAAAAAAAATCACATTTGTCTGTTGTTACCACTTTTTGTCTCTCCAATGCTTGAAACGTCATCGACCTAAATATGAGCTACAAGGATTTGGGGAAGGAACGCGCGGATTCTGACCACTTGGCTGCTCTGTCCTTTGCTAAAGGGAGTGATTGAGCTCTGCTGCTTCGCGGATTTTCTCATGGTAGGATAGTGATTGCCAGCCGCACTTAGAGTGAAGCAATTCTTCTCATCCCAGGCAAGTAGCACGCTGCTGAAGTTACCCCATGAGTTATACTGCGTGTCCCCCTACCGGGGCACATCCCTGAGAAAATGGCAACGATTTGGTCACCAGCTGAGCAACTCTTACCCTCACATTTTCCTAAAGCCTACTCCATGGCCAAAGAGAAGAGATGTAGCAGGAATGGGACTTGGGATTGTTCTCCAGATTGACTGGACAAGATATTTAAACAACTTTTTCTGTTATTTTTTTTTTCCTTTGGTTGTTTTTTTGTTTTGTTTTTCTGTAAGCCTGTCCCGTCTTTCTGTCTCTTGCCATCCAGGGCTTCCATTTAGAAACACCCCTATCCCTGAAATTAAGAAACACAAAAGCCTAAAATTGAAAGGCCAGCACTTGAGCTCCTGCCCTTCTGGGGCTGGCATCCCTCCACCAGGATGATTTGACTCCACAGAAAGCTGCAAGTTGTGACGTGAGGAAGTTCTCTAAAGTTGAAACGCAGCCTGGGCGCTTCTGATCCCACTGGACGTTTTTAATTCCTGAGAGCAGGGAGGTGCCAGGGCCACTTGGGTCCCGATCCCAGCTGAAGCAGGAGCCATACAGACAAGCAACCCTAAAATTAAAAGTGGAAGCTCGCTTTCTTCGAGCCCAGCCTTGGGAGGAGGGCTCTGGGACGAAGCCTGCGTCTCCTTTATCGAATTTTCTGTCCTGTGGAGAACAGCAACAGACTGGAGCTGGCAGCACGGGACCCCCACTGGGGTCTCGCTCCCTCCGCCAGGCAGCTCTGCAGCGGCGGGGCGGCGACGTGCACACTACCTGCAGGAGGGTCCGCAGCTTCCACGTGCTCCCAGGGTGGAAGCATAGTCCTTTTCTTCAACAACACCATTTATTTATACTGTGCTCTAACCTACGTTCGATCTCGTTTTGTTCTGTGTTGTTTTATTCCAATCTTCTCGTTCTAGCTGGCAAAAAAAAAGCGGCGACAAAAATACTCGCTGTAACCAAACCGAGTCAGTAACTCGTTCAGTGCTGTAGATATTGTTTTGCATTTCCACTTTCCCTTCACGTGCAGAGCATAAACCATAATCAACCTTTTGCAGCTGTATAACCTGTTACATTTACACAGTAATTGAAAGGCAGAGAGATTACATGCACATAGGCTAGGAAAAACGATGCACGGGACGAGGGAGGCTGTTCACTAAACCAGATATCGTCAGGAAGATTTTTTTTTCTGGAGTACTGAGTACGTGATATTCGCCAGCAGAAGGAATTATTTTCTGTCGTGTGTGTGAGCGCATGGGATTTTGGTTTCAATCACAGTAATAAAAAAAAAAGGTTGGGTTGGATGAAGTATGTCTATTTTTAATTATGAAAACTGCATTACAACATGCATTTTTATATACAAATTCTTACTATTTTTTTTAAATTTGCCTCTAGTATCTTCATTTCTAACCTAGTATATAGAGGTTTTTAGTTTTGTAAATACTTATTACATGCACTGTCTGTCATAGTAAAAGTTGGTTTAAAATGCACTCTTTTTGTGATCAGAAACTGGCCTTGTCTTCAGAACTAAAACTACAGTACTTGATTGTATTGACAAACCATCAATAAAACTTATTGTATAAAAGGTAGGCTCAGCTGTGCCTTTGTCCTACTTACCTTACCCTTCACTCCTTTGGACAGAAGGCCCCCCAAAAGCTGCACGTGCGGGACATAAAAACACCTACAGGGCAGACCCTTATTAGAAGGGCACGAGCTGACAGCTTCCTTACGCTCCCCACACACTTGCTACCAACTCCTGATGAGCACAGCCTCACCTGGTCCTGTCCCTGGCACCTCTGATACCCACAAAATCCGTTCACAGGGGTGGTGAGGATTATGTCCTCTCCTAGCAGAGGAAACAGGAACACTGCAGCACGGCCTCCAGGCAAATCACGTTTCACACACACGCTTTCTGTGTACGTTTTCCCAAGTCCAGCTTCAGCTAAATGATGAGGATTCTTTAAAACAGCTACAAAACCCTGGCAGAAACATAAATAAAGCCATCTAATTGCCCAGAAGCCTGACCAGCTCTGTTCTCCAGCTCAGGAGGCTGAGGTCAGATGTTCCCCAGGGCAATGTCATGCCTGAAGCCCAGAATCAACTTTGTGACTTTAAGGAAAAGACAGGAGCAGTGGCTAAATAACAAAGAGAGCTGCATGATTTTATTTCTTTCCAAGAAAGTCAGAGCTGAGTGTTTTGGTATGCATTTAAATTCTGGCCTAAAATGAGCTGTATTTTTTAAACAGGAAACTTCTGTTCTTCATGAATTCCACACATTTAAAATTATAAAGCTCCTTTAAAGGGAAAATACCTTCTTTTAAATAACTCTGTGAATACGTCGACATCTCTGGCAGAAAAACGTGAAAAACCTGACATTTTACACCTCAGATCTGCAGCACAATATACAAAAGACCAAAATTCCACATGTTCTCAGAACAAGATATTCATTTATACAAGGAAAACCCATTAAAGCATCACACAGAAGACTGGCACTTGAAGGAAGCAGAGTACAGGAAAGCCTGGAATGACTATCACGAGCAGATTTTCCACACGTGCATGCGGTCTGACACACACAACAGCCATGTGCTGCTATCAGAAGGGAGTGAACTCCATTCGTGTACAACGTTCACTTCCTGGTGTTACAAGAAATACTAGAGAGAGAACACAGAACTACACTGCCACATTCAGATTTACAAACATTTCCATATGATGACTGCTTGCCTCTTTTGTTTTTAATTATTGGAAAACCCTTTTCAGACGTGCCATACACAAGCTGTTATTATTCCCTTTCTGACCAGCTCCATTTGGCAAAGGTTTTAAACTTGAAACCCTGGAACAACACAGCTTTGCTAGAATATTCTTGCCCCCCCCAGTACCAGCCTCAAACCCTGAAATTCTTTTAAACTCTGCCAAGTTCTCTCCCAATTAACCTTCTTTCCCCTTTATTTTCAGATGATTCTTACAAAGTAGTTTTAAAGCTATGAGAATTAGCTCCTGCTTCCTGCTGAAGTCATTTTTGTCGCTGACTGCAGCAGGAGCAAGAATTCAATCCTTGTGTGACGCTGGGTTTCATGATGTACCTCCACCCCCAGATTTAGATAGCAATCTCTTGGTGCTCTGGACATAGGTAGGACAGGACTAAAAATGCAGGGTGAAAGGATTAGGAACTAATGAAATGGCTGCAGAAATGTGAAAGTCAGTGACATAAAGGAACACAAAATGTAATAAATCAGGACAGCATCAGGGCAGATTGCAGAGCACAGGACACCAAAGGGACAATAATTAGTTATGCCTTCCTCCAGCGGTAACAATGAGCCTACTGGGATTCTGTCTGCATGCACCAAAGGCAGTTCATGGAATCACAGAATGGCCTGGGTTGAAAAGGACCTTAAAGATCATCTAGTTTCAACCCCCCTGCTCAGTGTGTTGCTAACCACTGAAGCAGGCTGCCCAGAGCCGCATCCAGCCTGGCCTTCAATGCCTCCAGGGATGGGGCAGTTCTTAAAATGCCACTAGCTATGCAGAGAAATCCCTTCTCCAATCTCTGGCACTTTTCATTTTGCTTTTACTGTAGTGAACCTCCCTGTGAGGTCTGTTCTCCTGCATCCTCACTGCACAGTACAGGTGGGAAGCATCCTGCCAGGCGGGATATCCTCCAGGCTCTCCCTCCCCTCTCGTGCTGCTCTGATGACTCCCACCCACAGCCTTTAGCTGGTCAGTAGAGAACAAATCAGTGTTTCAAGAGGGGTGAGCAGCCTGTGAGAGCCACTGCTTGACAGAGCTAACAACTGAAGTGAAGGCCACGGAGTACACAGCAAAACAGCAAAAGAGTCAGCGGGTTCAGACACCCACCCAGCAGTGACAAAGTGACATAGTGGCAGGAACTGGGACAAAGCAAGAAGCAGAAATCTTATGAAAACTAGACGCTCCTGTACTTCAGAGGAGAGGCACGCCACTGTCCAAGGCGCCGCATGCAGCCATTTCCCAGCTGGAAGGGCACGTCCCGTCTCTTCAAACCCCTCGGCTCACAGCAGATGTCTCTCCGATGGAGGCTCGCCGGTGTCTGCAGATGGCAGGGATCCCCCCCAAACTTTCTGACCAGAACAGCAGAGGTGACCACCTGCTTTGCCTTCTGCACACAAGCTCCCCACGGGGCTCAGAGCCGCTGGCAGTACAGTTCATACAAGCTATTTGCCAGCTTCTGCGTCTCTTGAAAAGCTTCACAGCTCTGCTCCCAGCTCGGGGGTATCTGTTCCTCACCATAATAAGCCCCTGCAATGGCTCCTGCCATGGTGGCAATGGTGTCTGTGTCTCCACCCAGAGAGATACAGTAGATGATGGTCCTCTGCAGGTTGCTGTAGTGTTCAGGAATATCTGGGTCTGCTTCCATACAGCGCAAGAAGGAGTAAATTGCAGTAGGGACAGACCGCAAAGCTGCGATGCCATTGCCTGTTAAAAAAAAACAACAAGCACAATGATCTTTAGTGCTGCAGAACACTCTGGTCTTCTTTCCCACACAAGTACCTGTTCCCCTTTCATTGCAACATCCTAACACCCCATTGCCAGTTATTTTCTGTATTAGTTTTGCTGATTTTATCACACCAAAGAGCAAAACTAAGTTTGCAGAACAGTCCCCGTGTTCACCACTATCACTGCCACCCCGGAGACCAAATCACAGCCACACCAGCATGGGCTGGCAGTACTCATCCAACATGAAGATCTTACAGCCATTAAGACAAGAGGTCTTAGAATATTAAGAAACTTTACTCAAGATAGTTTTTCTTAGTCAGATTTTTTTTTCTCAGCAATTCAGGGAGGGAGTCACAGGGTCAGGACTCAGAGAATTACTGCCTGGAGAGCACACGCAGCCTTTCCAGCACACACAGTGCCTGGCAGGCAGCAGGGGCCAAAGTGGTAGCCTGGGGGAGGACAAATGACCCTGGCTTACTGAGTCGGTCCTGCTTCCAGCTCTTTCCTAACACGAATAGTAAGAAAGGTATTTACCTAATTCAAACAATACATCATCTTTGGGAACACTGCTGAGCTCCAAAAATTCTTTTATTTTCTTCAAGCGCCTTGAAAATGGTAAGTCCTCAAATCCCAGCCTGGAAACAAAAGCACAATGAGGAAGAGAGACTGAAAAGCCAGAACAAACTGTACACAGCAGTGTTAGTGCTCCTCACAGCTACTTACGCTCGGGCATCAGTAAGAGACTTATCATCTGCTTCTATGTCTTCCATGTGGCTAATCAGCTGCTCAAGGAAGGTTTCCTTGCTGAGCTCTCCCTGCAGGGCGAGATGCACCGCCAGGGCCTGCAGGATGGCCCCGTTGTAACCCAGGGAGTTGGCATGTGTTAATTCAGCACTGAGCTTTGCAAACTGCAAAAGAAAACACATAATGAGCAAAACTGAGAGACCATGGTGGGACCTGCCTGCCAGCAGGGAGTTGCAGGGCCAGGGTGCCCAAAAGGGCCAAGAATCATACCTTCTTTACATCCTGAACATCAGAATAGGCGAGTGAAATGCCTGCCACCCTCATGGCACCGCCGTTTCCATAGGAGCCTTTTCCATTAAACTGGGCTCTTGCAGGTTCAAACACATCATTGCACTTGGGGCTCAGGAGCTTCTTGAAGACGTTGACAACTGCCATCCCGTAGCCCCTGTTGGGTTCCTTCTTGTATTCCTCAGCAAACCTGCCGTGGTCAAGAAAGCATCAGTTACACAGGTGAGAAAGAATACAAGAGATACTCGGTCTGTTACTGAAGTTGCAAAGGGTTGTAAAAGGCACTTCATAGGGTGAATTAATAGCACATGGACAATCCAGTGACAGTCACGGTTCAACTGATTCACTTCTGCATGCAAAGAATCTCACTCCCAAAAATTGGTGTGAAAGGAGGAAAGGGTGTATAAACATCATCTTTCACAACCCACTTGTTTCCCTCTCAACTTTGCTTTGAAATAGAAGCAAACTGGAAACATTTCCCTGGGTCACAACCACAAAGAAAGTCTTTTGTTCAAGTTCAATGGAAGTGTTTTCTAAACAAATAAATGCTCTCCCCTAAGTGGAACCAAATGCTGCCAGGGCTGTGGATCCAAAAGGGAAATGGATCATAAACAAGCTGAAGCTGACCTCACTAATATTCACTAACTAAATTAAGGGAAGTACAAACATAAATAGCAACAAATTAACATGAAAGGAAATGCTTCTGAAATGTCTGAGCGTTATCTTTCACAAAGGTGGGTAAATGCACACGGCTGCAATACAGAACGGTAAAACAGCACATCCCATACTGCTTCATTTCAAAGCTAACGATGCTGTATGTTCCAGGACAGCGCTAAGCACATAATGAATTACAGGATTAGCAATCACTCTTATCTTCTCCACAAATTAACAATGACTTTGCCTTAGCCCCCGTCCCCTTTTGCAGAAAATTACAGTGATTGCTTCACTTTAAGAAAGTTTTGCCATTGCTAGTGAATGTCAACACCCTGGCCTCAGAAGCTGGCTGCAGTCCTTACCTCTTGGCCATGTCAACTTCGTCAAACTCCCTCTTGGCCAGCAGAGACTGCACCACAGACCTGCTCATGGCCGTGTCGTCTGTGTACGAAAGCGTTTCTAAAATAGAAGGTCAAAACATAACTTGAGCGCCCAAGGGCAAGCTCCCGTCCTTCTCAGCTCCCAGCTCTTCCCTACTTTCCAAGGACCCCCCATCTGCATAGCTGGAGTTAAAAAGCTACCAGAAGACCGACAGCAACTCACGCTCACTGCCCACGGCCATCAGAGCAGCGAGGCACAGAGCATGAGGGATGCGATCACAGCAAGAACGAGACAAAAAGCATTTTGAGACAAATAAGATCCAAGACAAAATGTTTGGTGTTTCATAGGCACAGACGGACAAGTCAGAGATGCCTCTTTCTTGGGGAGTTTACAGCATGCACTGACAAGCAGAGAAGATAAAGCACTGCTGCATTTAAGTTATACAGCAATAAAATCGTGCCACTGAGGCACGGCGATGCTCCTGCACCCCAGTTTCACTCAAAAAACATCTGAGGGCCCTCAGCTTCACCTCCATGCCCAACATGTGCACAGGGGCCAGGACACGGCCACGGGGAGCTGGGCGCTGCTTCAGCAAAACCAGCCCTAAAGGGGGGACCCCAGCCCCAAAAGGGGGGCTCCGAGCACTAAAGGGGGGACCCCAGCCCCGGGGCCGGTCCCGGTCCCCCCCCCGCCGTTCCGCCCACCTCTGCGGGCGCTGCCGGGCGGTTCTCCCTCACCGGCCGGCCCGGGCGCCGGTTCCAAGCCGCGGAGGAAGCGCAGCAAGTCGGGCAGCTTCACCACGCTCCTGCCCTCGAAGACAGCACCGAGGCAATCGCCCAGCAGCGCCCCGGCCAAGCAGCCCCGGAACCGGGCGGGACCGGGCCGAGAACGAGCCGCAGCCGCTGCCACCGGAGACCGACCCGAGCCCGAGCCCGAGCCCGGGCCAGACCCGGAGCCCGCCGCCGCCGCCATTTTGTCCCGCAGCGCCTCACAGCCGGCACCAGCGGCCCCTGGCGGCCCGGAGGGGAGCGCGCTGAGAACCGGGGGCTGCGCTTGGGGGCTTCACAGGGCCCCTGGGGCTGCCCATGGGATCACAGAATCAGTAGGGTTGAAAAAAGCCTCCAGGATCGCTGCTCCAACCACCCCCTACACACTGACCGTGTCCCCAAGCACCACGTCCAACCTCTCCCTCAACACCCCCAGGGACGGGGACTCCACCACCTCCCTGGGCAACCCGTCCCAACGCCTGAGTGCTCTTGCTGAGGAGAAATGTCTCCTCATTGCCAGCCTGAACCTCCCCTGGCACAACTCGAGGCCGTTCCCTCTGCTCCTGGCACAGTTCCCTGTGAGCAGAGGCCGACCCCAGCTCCCCACCCCTTCCTTCCAGGCAGTTGCAGAGAGCAATGAGCTCTGCCCTGTCCCTCTTCTCCACCAGCAGCAGCAGGCTGGAGGACGTTATTCCCAGATGGCCACTTTATCTCCCTGTGCTAATTTTTCCTCCATCCCCTCATGAAGGACACGGGGCTCCTTCCCCCTAGGAGCAGTGCCCAGGGGGAGCGCGGTGCTCAGCGCCTCGCAGCACACCAGGAGCGGGACCTGCACCTCGCCCTGTGTTGGGTTAAAACAAGGCTGCTGGCACGTGAGGCAGAACGGACTCTGGCTCTTGTTCGTGTAGCTTGTGTTAGTTCTGCAGGGCTAGCAGGCGGGGGGAAATCCCAAGCCAAACTTTAATCATTAAAGGGAGCAGATTCGAGTCAGTGCACCCAGAGAGCAGATGTGGCGCGCTGCCACCATTACACAGTCCCTTTTCAGAGCCCAGCCTCGCACTTTGAAGGACTTAAAACACTAAAGAGCCCAGATGGATTCAATCATCACGAAATGCTTCCAACACTGTCAGATGACAACTGCTCTTGGGGACAGACTCTTTATTGTTTATAATGCTCCTTGGAGTGCAAGAGGCTATAAACATCATGCAAGGGGACAGACAGTTATATAACAAACTAAGGAGAGAGAGAGGGAGGAGAATTACATTATCCTAACATGACACAGATGTCCGCTTTCCCTACTACGGAACTGAGTCACTGGTAGCTCTCTCTTCGGCGTGGCTCGTTGCACAACACTCCCCAGCACGCTAAGCCAACTCCAGCTGCCCGTTCTTCAGTGGGGAGGGTGCACGGTTTGTGGTCCGGTTGAAAGTGTCGACCTCTGGCACAAATTTCTCGGCAGGAACCACGAGTTTTCGCCGGCTATCCATACACTTGTTGTCCAGCACCAGGGAATTGGCTTTGTAGCCAATATCTGTCTGGATGCGGTAAAGCTGCCTGTATAGAGCGTCCAAGGCATCCCTGAGAACAAGCACAAGTGAGAGGATTTGGGTTCAGACACTGTATTCACATCTCAAGTTGGACAGGAAACACCCAACTTCCCACTTTCTGGCAGCAGAAATAGCTGTGTAGCATTTGCCTTTGCATAAAGAGCTAATGCACCAGATACTTCTCGGTGCATAGCAGTAGCATTGTTTGTGTCTGTGAATAGCAAGCCCACACGCTGCTCCTAGATTGCAGCACAGAGATGTGCACCCTGGGAGCCCTGTGCCAGCACAGAACAGCACTTCTATTTCCTCCTTCACTTTTCACCCACTTTTTTTTTCCCTTTTAGAACTGCTGATTAAGCCTGGTTGCAGTCTGAGTGCAGGCAAGGGCCGTGGGAACCCCATCCAGCCTCCCACCATGCAGACCTCCAGGCCTTGCCTGCTCCCCCGCTGCCCAGTGAAGCATCCCTCCAAGCCCAAAAAACATTTCCACTCTTGCTCTAAACAGACACAAGCTCCAAAATGCAGCTCCTGCCCAATGCTGGGCCACCATCGCTACAGAGAGCAGAGGACTTACTGTGCCTCTGCCAGCTTGAGCTTGAGCGCGCGGATGATTCCCTCCAGCTGGTGGACCTCATCTGTTAGCCCGTACTGGACCTGCAAGGTAGGGAGGGAGTCAGTTGTGGCAGTTAATGGGACCAATGTGCTGTTTTAGAAAGGCCACAGTTCTCTCGTTCCCCTGCCAGCCCAGCTGTGACATGTATTTGCTTGCTTTGCCATGTGCTTGTAGAAACTGTTGCTCAGTCCCTCTGTAATTTTCTCCAAAGCACAGCCACGCTTCTCAGACTCACGCAAGCACCCCAGTTCAGCTCCCCCGTCCCTGCTGGCAGGATGTGTGCCAGGCGAGGCTGGTACCTGATCCCGACAGAGCTCCACGTTGGGCCGATACGTGCGGGTCTCCAGGCGGGTGTGTGCTACTTTCAGATCTTGCATTTTCCTTCGGAGATCTTCCTCCAGCCGTCGGATGTCTTCTTCCATCTCAGCGATTTCCTCCAAGGTCTAAGGATAAAGATGTGTACCGTGAGGGTGATGATGATCAGCCACAGTTCCCTTCCCTTAGGATATAGGCTGGAAAACAGCCCCCACGCATCCTGGGCTTTTACTGTGCTGGGAATGGATTTTAAAACAAGGGCTTCTGAGTGCTGAACCCCTCTGCTCATACATCAGGCTTCTCACACAGACCAGGCATGGTGCTGCGGTGCTTTATGGCCATGGTGGTTGAGACCAGGGGTGAAATAAAAAGGCCAAAACGTGGCACCACTGCTGGGAAATGCCAGAGCAGCAACTGTGATAGCAGAGGAAGTTTGGGTGTTGCAGAGATCACACATGTGCCACTTAACAGCTTTTGTGGGGAACGATCTTTATATTTAAAACAAAACCGAGACAGATTTATAGGCAGCCTCTCTCTCATAGTTGTGTTCCCCTGCAAGTGCAGGATCAGTAGGGAAAAGCAGACTTTTGCCATCACAGATTAATGGGATGGATAAAAATCCAAGGAATAGAAGAGCATGCCACGGTTTAACAGAGCCTTTCTTGTAGCAGGGAAACCTCTACCCATCTCTGCCCCCCCTTCTGTCAGACCAGGACACGTGAGCACAGCAAGGAAGCGCTCAGACCGAGTAGCATTCCAGGTAACAAACAGCCTTCAGATTCAATTCCCACCCAAAGTTGTGGTTGATGACCAAACAAGCGCCACTTACATTTCGCTCCTGCCATTTCAGCTCATCGTAGGCTTTCTCCATGTCTCTAATCCTCTTGCGCAAGGCAAACTCTGTAGCTACACGCTGAGCCTCCAGCTCGTTGTTGGTCTGAAGAGAGAACAGTCTGCAGTCACACACATCCCGAATGGCTCTCCCTCACAGCAGCTGACAATGTGGCCATCCCATGAGATGTGTGAGGTTGGGACAAGCCTATAAACAAAACCATCGGGGTTCTGGCAGCTGGAAGGGTCCCCCTGACATGCACATGCAGGTCCATGCAGCCCCCTGTAGCCAAAAGGCACGGGAACAATGGACTGGTACCAGTCTTCCAGGTTGCTGAGTCTGTTGCAACCTCCACAGCACAATCAACCCCCCCTTTTAAAGCAGTTTGAGGGCAACTGCTCTCAGCAGGGTGTGTGGGCTGATGCTCTCTTTTCCAAGACTCCCTTTCCCTGGTCACAGCACACAAACCCATTCTCCCACGCTGGATCCCACAGAACTTTGGCACCACTGATTCCCAACCAAGGGACTAATTTACCTGGGCAATGGCAAGCATGATCACTTCTCGGAGCTTAGTCGAGGCTTTCATTTCTGCCTCAGCATGATCCTTGTTGTATTGGCTATTCTGCTCCCACTCATCAACTGCAGTTGATCTGTGAACAAATCAGTTATGAAAATAAGTTGTGTGTTTGCAAGACAGTTCAAAAGGAACCACCTGCTGCAGGCCAAGAAGGCTTTCTGCAGTGCAAAACGATTCAGGAATTCTGGAGGTCACATCCTGTCCGATCCCCTCAGTGCACCAGCTGGAGCTTGCTACCCCACGGCTCCTGCACCAAGCCCAACATCTGCTCAAACTGGGGACACATCCAAAGCATGCTATGAAATGCCAAGCAAGAGAAAAATGTGCAACAGCTCCCCCATAAGCTGTGCCAAAGGCTGATACCATACTACTCACTGTCATCTGTAGCCAAGTAGCAGGGAGGCAGGGCAGCAAGCTTCCCTGGTTTTGCAGTGATGATTTAGATAACACGTTCACCGTGCTCCCATTTTCCCCTTTACCAAGATGCTGTTTATTTATCTGACAACGATGGTGTTATGGGCTAGGTATGCTCTGACACCCTGAAAGATCTGATAGCACCAGTACACATCACTAGCAATCAGCCCACTACAAGCATGGATTCAGGTCTCATCTCCCTAAAGGCTGTGGCTTCACATTCCAAGAGCCACAACAACCCCCAGCAGCCAACTCCTGTTCTGAGCTCTCTCAGTAACTCAAGACTCTTTCAAGCACCAGCATGGATTTGGCCCCCAAGGGCAAGCTCTTTACTTACCCGTTTGGGACACGTGTTGGGTTGACCTTGAAGGAGATATTGGGAGAGTTCACACTGAGGGATAAGCACACGCGATCTATTTCCAACGCTTCCATCTTGCCCCGGTGGTCAAAGCTCAGCTGCTGGCGAGCTTCCTGGAGGTGGCTGCAGGAAGCAAGGCTGGAGTCAGTGGGGAGCATGCAGACAAGAGAGGCAGCTCCCCACTGCAAAATCACAACCCCTGTCATCTTTTTAAAACGAGCGATGCTTTATTTGACTCACCAGAGCTGCTCGAAGGCTTCATTCACCCTCTGCTGCAGTTCTCTCTTGGCCTTGTCTATCACCTTCACCTCCTTGTGCAGCTCGTCTTCCACAGGGTCCCTCACCACGTCGATGGCACGGCGGCTCTCACGGAGCGTCAGGCACTCAATGGCAACGTCCAAAGATAAGTTCTTTGCCTGGAGGGCACGTTCTGCTGCTTCCTTCACCTGGAGGGAGAAGCTAGCTGTGTGAGGGGGGGTGGAAGAAGAAGAAAGGAAGGGAAACCCACCAATGCCCTTGGTAGGAGGGCATTTCCACTGCTTGTATCTGCAGTTCTGAAACCTCTTAGCAAATCTGGAATGAAAACTGTGGGAGCTGAACACACCAGTCCTCTACGCCTGTTCTTCACACCAGGAGTCACACCTTGCTGGGGGCTAAGGGCTCCAAAAGGAGCAGCCCGTGGGTTTAGAACTAAAAGAATCAGAGACACATCCCACTGCTACTCTCTATTTAAAATCAAACGTTTTCAAACTGAGGTCTTAACATACTGCTCACTAAGCTTCAGAGCTCTTAAAAAAAAAAAAAAAAAAAAAAAAAGAACACGTGCATGCAATGCACAGCTCCATAAAATGGCTTAGCTCAGCCAAGAACACACTGGCTCGCTTTCCAGGAAGTCATTTCATCAGGTATTGATCCCAGTGTACCTGTGATAAGCCCCCACCTTGGACACCATATGGGCTTGCCCACTGCAGAAGACACAAATCAATTATTTAACATCCCATGTTAAAAGCGTAGGTTGATTTCCAGCCATCTGTCTTCCCAACATACTTTGGCTAAGGCATCGATTTCCTCATCTATGTCTGCAAGGCATTTGTCCAGGGTCTCTTTCCATCTGTTCACACTGCTGATACGTTCAGTCAGGCGGGTTTGGTTGTCATGTTCATCCCATTTCGCCTGGAATTAGAGTAGAAATGCCATGAGTTGGTTTCTTTTGTTTATTTTTTTAAACTGAAATCGTGAAACTTGCCGAAGCCTTTTCCTGGATTCAGAACTGACAGACCCCTCGCAGAGGTGTAGCATTGTCGTTTGGTCAAACAGCCACCTACACAAGTGGGGAGCACAGAAAACAACACAACTTGCAACGGCTGTGAGAATCACACCCTGGGAGCTCATGACAGCACACACATCACTGCACGTAAGTATTTATTTACTTCCTGTGAGCGTATTTAGGAGGTTTCCAGGAGGTAAACCCCTCTACTCTCCCCTAGTTTGTACAATGGGATCTAGACACCCTCCCACACTCCTCAGCCTGCTGTTCTGACAGCCCCAGGAGCGGCTGAGCTGCTGAAGGCCCACCTGGTTGTTGGTTTCGTTGCGGAGAGCTCGGGTTTCCTGCCGGACTCGGTGGGAAGCTGAACGCTGGCTTTCGGCATCGGCTGAGATGAGTTCGGCGTTGGTGTGCCAGTCCGGCACAGTGAACCTCTGCCCCGGCTTCACGCTCAGCGTGGCCATCTCGTCGTAACAGGTGACTGCAAGGGAGCAGAAAATTAACATTTATTCACAGAAACACACTAAATGGAGACGCACGGAAGCAAAATTTGCCTCTGGGGAAGGGTAAACGGAGCTGCCCTCCTGGGCCAGGAGGAAAGCCCCTCCAACCTGCGGCTCCCCGGGGAGCAGCGCTGCTGGCAGAGCCAAGGAGCTGCCCCTGGCACCACCTCTCATTTACGGGGCTGGGACAGCGCAGCCGCTTCCATCAGCGGCTCTGCTTCTGTCACTGTTGCCTAGGCTCTGCCCTGGCAGCGCTCTCAGGGGACTCGGAGGCTTCGCAGGAGCTGTATGGCTCGCTGCCGTCTTTGTGATCTGGGGATTACTGAGGGGGCTCAGAGCAGCTCCAGGGGAGACCACAGCTCCACCACAGCTCCTGAGGAGACCACAGCCCCTCAAACCCTCCTCAAACCCCGCCACCCATCAGGTCTCTGAGGGCACGCGACCATCCCAGTGCAATACACACCTACCCCCAGCCCCTTGAGGCAGCACTGAAGCTCCCCAACCCCGCACGACCCCCAGGGGCACAGGGCTCGGAGACCCTCCGGGACCCCGCAGCTGAGGGGAAGGCACCGGGGCAGGGCCCCCACAGCCCTCAGGGGACCCTCAGAGTGGTGCTGCCCAGCCTCAAGGCAGCCTCAGGGCTGCTCCCCTCAGGGCCCAGGGCCCTCCCTTGCCCCCTCACCACCGCCACCGCCGCTCCCCGTTCCTGGCCCGTGTGCGGCCCCGTTGCTATGAGGCACCGCCACCCCTGGGGCCGTTACCGGGGCGAAGCTTCCATCTTCCTGTCGGTTACTGCGGGAGTTATGCTCCAACACAACAAAAAGCAAAAAGCAGGAATTTATTATTATTGATATTTGTTAAAGGGGAAGCCCGAGGGACAGGCGTGGCAGTGTGGAGAAGCAAAAGCAGGAATTTAATAATTTATTCTTATTTTTTCCACGGTGAAACCCAAGGGACAGGGACAGAAGCTCAGAACCCGGATTTACAAAGGATTTTGTCTGCCTGTGCCCAGTACTGGGCACCCACCACCACCACATCTCCCCACGCTCCCACTTCTGTGGGCAGAGGGATTTAAACCACCCCTCTGAGCGCTTCAAGTCCCTCCTAGCTTTTAAGAAAAATAAAAGTGGCACTCGGTCAAATCAAACCCAAGGCTGAAAGTAAAATCACTTTCTGACAAAGTTTTGGGGGTCATGCCCTGTGCTCCCCCCAAAGCTACCGCCCAGCTCTGACCCAACTTGCTCCACCACCTCCATCTCCATCCATGCCTCAGGAAGCGACTCAAGCGATGCAAGTGTAACAAAATAAAGTATCACATCCGCATTTCAAAAAAAATTTATTTTTTTTTCAAATGAATACGGTTGGTTTTACAATACACCCAACTTGATGGTATCTAAAGCCAGCAGAGATCTGATGACTGTTGTGTGTACTATACACAGTCGTACAGAGGTTACAGATGCCTACCAGAGGGGAGGGACAGTGAAAGTTGACATTTTACTGTGCTGAAAAGAAAGCAACTCTTGCAACAGGTAGAAAATTTTGGCAAGAACAATTTCTCTGGAAAGGGAGAACGGGCAGAGGACACCCCTTCTGCTTCGCGCGCACACCTCAGAACACACCGACGCATGGTTTCCCTCCCACCCCGCATGGCTGCAGCCCACATCCGCAATACAAATAGGCACACATGGTCAAGATGGTTAAGTAAAAATAAAGGCTTTTACCAGTTTGTTTGCTATCCGTCTACAATCGATTTGTGCAACGTCTCAAGTCACAGCTCTACTTTACTCTTGAAACGATTCCCTTTTGCTTTGACAAGCCCCGGTACCTTCATGGTGGGAACACATTCGGCTTCCTGCTCAGCAATGTTAACACCGTCACGGGAGGGGAGCAGTTACCAGCATAGGAGAAAGAGCAAGACATACACATAGAAGGGAATCTCAATCCACCGGACTGCTTTATTAGAATTTTATTCTGAAAAGGAATCCCAAACAGCACAATTTTATTTTATTTTTTTTCATTTAAACATGTTATTAAATACGCAAAATTTATATGCACAACATTGCTTCCAGAAGTCTCCTACACAAATACAGATTGATCACTAGCAATGTTTATGGCACACACTATGCCACCTGAGCCAGCATCTCCTGAAGATATTTTAATACCCATACTGGCTCATAACTGAATGCTACCAATTACAGTGAAAGCTTGATAGTAATACCTCTTGATAGACAATGTTCTTATCTATGAGCAAAACGCCTTTAGGCCATTCAAACAGCCTAGCTCCCCCCGCTCCCCAACAATACCATTTATCCACCAACAGGCTACCTGGGGGCAAGCTTAACTGCTTACACCACGGGAAGAGACAAGAATACAACCGCCAGGAGGAGATCTATACCCTGTGTGAGCCCAAAGTTCGTTGCCTGACCTGCAGAACACAGGGTCTGTATACTGGTGTCACTGATCATGGCAGCAGAGGCTGGGCAACAAGCCTGTAAAATCATCTCGGACTAAGAACTTGTTCTGTCAACTCTATTGCTGTGCTGAGGCTGGCTTTTCACAGTTGTCTGCAAAACAGACAGAAAACGCAACTTTCTAGAAGCAGGTTTATCTACAGAAAAACACCATTAAGTTTTCTCAAGGCTAGATTCAACACTGAAAACTGCAGAATGAGAACATTTTGCTGAAGAATAGAAATCAAGTCCAAAGAAAACTGAGAACTATAGCCACAGGAGGAAAGTGATGTACAAAACCGATTACCCTACAGAAGCCATTCATGACTGCAGAGCTGCCGGAGGCCAGAAGACAAACTTCATCTCTAGCAGTCTTCCTCACACTGAGATTTTTCCAGCACTCAATTCTCCTCTCCACTTAAGGAGCACTACTCAAGTTTCTACTTTGCTTGCACACCATCAGGTTCAAAAACTTCAGAAGTATAAATTTAGCACTGCCCCAGTGGGTATTACTTCACTCGTACGTCTGGGCAAGCATTAACCTGCAAAACATCAATTTTATATCAAAGCAATTGGTTCTGAATGTATTTAAGAGATTTGCAAGTGTAAGCATTATGAAAGATTAATAATAAGTATCTTAATATCTAATTTGTGCACATCTGTATTTAAATTGGTTGTGGACCTATGATTTATGGGCTAGCACAGCCCTAAATTCAACATAATCATATTTTTCTGTGTTGCTAGATAGTATTGCAGTAGTTATTTTTCAACTACCAAATGTGTATGAAAGACCTATATGATCCTCAGCAATGGAAAATAAACCTTTCACTTAAATAAACTTGCCATCTGAGTCTATTTTGCAACAAATGGAAACAGAAGATCATCTGAAAAGAAAGCAGCAGGTAAACATTATGAGACCGATCCCAAATGCCTTCCTTGGGCATTGCTGTGATGAGATATAAGCAAAGAGCACAGGCTCATGTCAGAGACGGACAGACTTCAAACAGAACTGTATTAAGTGAAGAAGCAAACTTGTAAGAAGGTGCACAGGTGTGTATCAAGGATTTAGCACTTCCACAGCATGATTCATCCTCAGAACACTTATATTAGCTCTCGTAAGGCGATGTGAGACAGCTCATCCATTTCTTAGGTAGGGCAAAAACCAGAGACAAAACCACTTACCCGAAGTCTGAGAGGGAACCCGTTTCAGAGCCAGCATCGCTTGCTGAGTTCCTGGCTGGATAACCCAGCAGCACCTTAAAGCTGCATAAAATATAAGCCATCTAAAAAGCTCCTCCATTTTTCTCTCAAACTCCACTTTCACAGCAGCTTTAAGCCTGAACCAGCCCCTAAGGACACGAGGTGCCTTCTGTTGTGCAGCACCCAGCATACAAGAGCCTTGCCTTCGCTACCCTGATGTAAAAGGAGAGGCTCTTTTCTCCCTCTCACACCACTTTGCTAAACCTTTCCGTACCCGACACCGCACAGCTCTGTGCACAGGCATCACTACCCTCAGCTGCTGGCAAGAGGGCTCTAAAAAAATTACCATCCGTGATGTTTAATCCTCGCCACCGTGTTCCCACTTCACCAGACTTCTGCACTGCTCCCTACATTCACCAGACAACATTCCTCAGGTCCTTACAGTCACCAGATGGGGCAGGGGAAAGGAGCAAAGGAGCGTCCAGAAAGCTGCGGGAGCACAGCGAAGAGTGAAGACCTTACAGGACAGGCAACATTCAAACAAAGGCAGAATTAATGATTCTCACCAGAGAAACATATCAAAGTTAAAGTTTATTTAAAAAATTGCAAGTCTACCAGGAAGTACGTTTATTCGATGACATTGCTCTCCAGAAACCACTTCTTTTAAAAGCTCCTCCTGTCTGGGTAGTTCTAATTCAGGGCTCACTTTGATTAATTCAACCCAAAACAAACTCCATTCTGACCAAGGACTTCACGTTTAAGACTGGTTCAAGAAAAATATTAACCACATTATCAATGCAAATGCAAGTTTTTCCAGCTTCTGTCCTTGATCAGAAAAAGGCACATGCTTGCTCTCAATGAGTTCAAGTCTGACACAAACAGTCCAGGACACTGAATTTACCATTTCAGGCTCCCATCAGCTTCCCTGAAGGGCTCAGGGTGACCATAGCTCACTTAACACCCACCCAACCTCTACCGAAGCCTTTATCCCTACAGGCAGCTGCTTTCATCGCCACCACGCCTCTCCTCCAGGCAGAGCTGATGCAGCTCCAACGTCCTCAACATCGCTAATTCCACGCAGACAGCAGCGATCCTGCGCGAGGGAAGCGGGGAGGTAGGTTAAGAGCTGAGGAAGAGCAGAGCGACTGCAGTGCTACAGCAACATTCACTCCATGACTGCCTGCTGCTTTTCTCGGTAGCCAGGCACACAGCAGCAGATAATAACCAGAAATCTATCAGAGCATCTGTGTTTAACGGAGGGGTTGGATATTGCTCGCAAAACCCCTTGGCTCCGTTGTTTCAAATAGCACCGACCTACTGGATTTTTTATCTGTTTCGAACCGAGTAAGGTAGCTTCAAGATTTCGATCCAGAGCACAGATAAGCTGATTTAACTGCACAGCTGCTCCAGGCACTGCCACCGGCTTCTCAGCGCGTTCCTTTACGGAGGTGAACAGGCACTCTTGCTTAAAAAATGCAGGAAAAAAGCTTCCCTCCCTCCTCTTGGATGAGTTTTTTTGAAGTAGTCACTTGTGGGGACTCGAGTAAACTGCGGATACAAAGGTACAGGTTCACAAGGCTCTAGCAGCATAAGATTTTTTCAGTATATTCAGCTCTTGGGGGAGGAAGCCAACTTTCCTCCTTGCATTTTCAGAGCTTTCAGCTATTGGTTTGATAGCATAGTCACCACTACCATTTCTTCTCCTCTTCATAAAACATACAGCTGAGTCAGTTCAATTTTAGGATTAATCCCAGCACAGCACAATTTACTATGAGCAGTATCAATTACAGAAAATCTCAAACTTTGCCGGGAAAAACGAGGATTTTTCTTTCTTCACTTGAAATATTATACTCACGTGTCTACATCTTCAGCAATTTATTAGCTTGTATTTAAATTGGATACGTTAAAGCATCATGCACCCTCCAATGAATGCAAAAGAAATACACAGACCATTTCTATTGTAATTAAACCCATATGTGCTACAGTTCATCAGCAAGGCAAGACTTCTCGGAAGAGATCTGTGCCTGACAGAAACCAGCATCGTCAGATGCAAGCCTATCCATTTCATTTCTTTTGATCACATTTGCAATGTATAGAAAGAGAAGGCAGGAATTTACAAATCTCAACAGCTTCAGTAAATCTAAATACAGATAGAAAAGAAACTGGTTCATAGGCAAGGGAAGAGATGGAGAGTATTGCTGCAAACAAGCTGATGGTACAAGATTTTTGGCCCTTTTTAGTCTAAAAGATAAAAACAGCTACTACTAAAAAGGATAGAAGACAATTTTGGCTCAGAATTTAGACTAAAAAAGCTTTCTAAATCCTAGCCTAACAACATTAAGAAATTGGGAACATAAAATTCAAAATCATTGCAAGCTTAAATACCAAGAAAGTCGCATTGGGCACTGTACTAAAACAAGAAAGTTGTTCAGCTACGAGAAATATCAGTTCCTTTCTTTAACTTCAATCAGAAGAAATGTACACAGCTAAAAGTTAGGTATTTGTTTCGTGGCCTCTGTGGGTAGCACAAGCAGCAGT